CTCGCAGGAAAAAAAAAGATATTGCAAAGTTGGAATTGATTGATTGAACTTTTTAGTCCCACCCAGTCTTCCATTACCACTGCAGCCACGCCCACCCAATAGGTCACACCCACTCAATTGGCCACACCCAGCCAATGGCCACACCTACCTGGCACCCGACGATGCATAAGTGGGTTTTGGGTTGCAGTTTGGGCACTCGGTCTCTAAAAGGTTCGCCATCACTGACCTATACCATCTCAGACAAGTGACTGTCTATTCTCTTCTTTAAAATCTCCAGTGGTGGAGTGCCCATGATTTCTGAAGGCAAGCTGTTCCACTGGTTAATTGTCCTCACTGTTAGGAACGTTCTCCTTAATTCCAGGTTGCTTCTCTCTTTGATCAGTTTCCAACCATTGTTTCTTGTCCTGCCCTCTGGTGCTTTGGAGAATAATTTGACCCACTCTTCCTTGTGGCAGCCTCTCAAATACTGGAATACTGCTATCATGTCACCCCTGTTTCTTTTTTTCTTTAGACTAGCCAAACCTAAGTCCTGCAGCTGTTCTTCATATGTTTTAGTCTCCAGGTCTTGGATCATCTTAGTTGCTCTTCTTTGAACCTTTTCCAAGGTCTCAACGTCTTTTTTGTAGTATGGTGACCTAAAACATGTGCCCAAGTAATTTTCAAGAATGGGAGAAAAAAAATATGGTACAATTTTAAATATTCCCATCAATATTTTCCAGCTTAGATCTGCTACTTTGTTATTGATTTTAGAGGCCACTTTGACTTGGAAGAACATTTGCAATGAAAATTTAGCATCGGTATAGTCTTGCTATTAAAACATATAAAATCTTTTATATTTTTCCATCGGATCCTCTCTCCAAGTGACAATCGTGTGATGAAGACATGGTACTAGGATTGGGGAGTGAAGACACTCGAGGTCTTGTCCACCCCTAGCACAGAATCTGGACCCCTAGCACAGATTATGGAACACTCAGTCTTAAAAGAACCTCAAAGAAGGTTTGAGCAAGAGTAGGGAGCCCTCTGCATGCCCAAATAAAAAGCAAGATTTAAATTAATAAATATAAGAAATGGTCCTATGTGGCAGTCATAAGATCCAACATTACTGAATTGGTAATTCATGAGTGGTATCATATTTAGAAAGTAATCATTTGAACATCATGGGAAATTGTTATTTTATTATAGCTCTAATTGGAGAGTTTGAGTAGTTGGCAGATTGGTGTGGGAAAGAGAGAGGCCTTTGATGCTCACAGCTTTCTTCCTTTTTTCCCCCTTCATAATGTTTATCTTTCATTTCTGTAAAGAGAAGTGGTGAAAGAAACATATATAATAATCTAAACATTGCAAACTGATTTACTGTCAATACAGAACACTGACATTCTACTCACTTTACAATAACATGGACAGTTTTGTCTTCAACTGAGTATTTTAATAGCTTGCACAACAGTGCTCCTATTAATTTTTAAAACCAGAAATGTTCCAAAATTGTTGGGTTATTTTTTGGGTATATATTTATTATCATCTATTAAAAATGAGATGGCATGAGTATGCTTGACTGATCTCACTAATTCTGCAAATTAAAATAATAAACTGTAATATATTATTTGTGCAATTTAAACCCACATTTTCTGCTATTGCTTTCTATAGTTTTTTCTTTTGAAGCATCTATTGTCAGTTTTCTCATGTAGCTTCACAAAAGGGATGTAATCATCCAGTCTAATAATTCTGATGATAAATCCTGATTCAGAGCAAGACCATCCTCACTAATTCTCCTAACAACCGACCCAATCCACATCATAAAAGAACAAATGGTGCAATGCACCAGTACTCCAGAGGGGTCCATCCTAAGCCGTTAAAAAAAAACTATTTTCCAAAGCACCTGAAGGCAGGACAAGAAGCAACGGGTGGAAACTAATCAAGGAGAGAAGCAACCTAGAACTAAGGAGAAACTTCCTGACAGTGAGAACAATTAATCAGTGGAACATCCTGCCTCCAGAAGCAGTAAATGCTCCAACACTGGAAGTTTTTAAGAAGAGACTGGACAGCCATTTGTCCGAAATGGTGTAGGGTTTCCTGCCTGAGCTGGGGGTTGGACTAGATGACCTCCAAGGTCCCTTCCAACTTTACTACTATTACTACTGCACAATTGGAAATGGCATTTCAGTTTGAGTCCTAGCATGCTGGAATTGCTCTCCTTAAATAGAAGTAATCATTATACAGTGGTCCTTATCCTTCTGTTCTTATCAGTGAGCTAGATAAATATAGGTTTCACTAGATTTTTAAATAGCAGCAGGCTTAGGCACAAGCCTAAAAAAGAGTTCAGAATACACCCGAGGGTTGCTACTTTGAAACTAAATGCAAATACAGGCAATCCTCAACGTTTGACACAATTGAGCCCAACATTTCTATTGCTCAGTGAAGCAGTTGTTACAGTGAGTTGTGCCCCATTTTATGAGCTTTCTTTCTGCAGTTGTTAAGCGAATCACTGCAGTTATTAAGTTATGACACAGCTGTGAAGCGAATCTGGTTTCTTCATTGACTTTGCTTGTCAGAAAGCCACAAAAGGTGATTCACATGACCCAGAGACACTGCAACCGTCATAAATATGAGACAGTTGCCAAACGGCTTAATTTTGATCATGTGACCATGAAGATGCTGCAGTGCCCGTGGTCATAAGTGTGAAAAAGAGTAATAAGTCACTGTTTTCAGTGTTGTAACTTTGAATGGTCACTAAATGAACTGTTGTAAGTTGAGGACTATCAGTACAAGCTTTTTAAAATGTTTGGAGTTGGTTGGATTCATTATCCTTTGATATTAAGAATATCAACCCTCATTCCTTTTTCATTCCCTTCATTTGTTTGGAATGGTAATGGCCCCAGTGTATAGTTTGAAGATCCATGATAAGTTAACTTTGTTGAATGCTGTCAATCTTGTCTAAAAGAAAAGAGAAAAAAAAATTACAGAGAACTATAACCAAGTGAATGCCAGCCTCCAAAACAAAAGATCTGGTAACCCTTTTTTATTTATTCCATTAATTTCAAAAATGTAAATATAGCTAATTTAATTAGATTGGGTTTGAAACGTGCAAATTGTTGCAATTAATTGTATACATGGTCTTTTCTCCATAACGCAAACTATTTAGAAAGTACTATTTATCTTAGAAGTACTTGCCAGAGGGAGCCAAAAGCTCATTTTAAAAGGTTGGATTTGACTATAGCACAGTGCACAAAATAGAAATCTATTGCATGTGATTCTTGACAGGTTTTTTCCCATTGGTGGAAGCATTTGGAATTTTGAATAACATGAAAGACATGATAGGCACTGATTTCTAAACATGCTGCTTTGCCATTTCTCTTACCATGCCACAAATACCTATATTTTTTAAAAAAATCTCAAAGCAAAAAAATAAGTAAAAATAAGTAAATTACTCTAGAATATGAATCAAGTAGAAATGGGGTCTGAGCCCCAATGCAAACATCTGAATTAATTTTTAACTTCCTGTTAATTAGCCTTATAAAAATACACGGTTTCATCAAAACCCAAATAGAGTAAATGCTTTCTCTCCTTCTCTCCCGGTTTCCTAGTCCCATTTGTTCCCCTGTCTCACTGTCATCTAAATCTTGCTCCTTTTTAAGGCACCCTCGATGCTAGCAGGCTTTTCCTTCCCTCTGCCTCCCAGCTGGCCAGGAGAACTTAAAAGCAAGAGTGTGCCTCCAGCCACTCCTAGCCTTTATTTCTGAAGAATTTCTCTGAGTCCCATGGGAGCCAGAGGCATTCTGTGGAATAAAGATGGCAGACAGCATGGAGGGTTAGCTCATTACTTTGAAGTCTTCCCTCACATAAAATAAATTGCGGATAATACCAAAGTACTTTGTAGACAGAACAGAAGGTGCCTGTGGATATCATGTTGCTTTATCCCCTCACAGGCATAAGCCTGCTCACATAATACAAAATTTACATTCAAGAGTTCCCCCTCCCCTTTTTTTGTATAATTTAGTGAAAAAAACAGTTTCAAGATGAAGGGACAAGAAAAGACAGCAGCAAATCTTTCTCTTAGCAATCAGTTTAGGCTGTTATGTTGCAATGCATTTTTGATGGACTTCCATTATACATACTTGTTATTTGTACAGTGCATAATAATACAGAATGGAGGAGATCTGAAGCTCTCTTGTGCTATTGACTAAACGTTTTGGCATCAGAAGAAGTTGAAGCTGTACCGCAGTGTTAATAGTTTTAAGTTAACTCTTGGCATTACTTTAAAACAATTATGCAAGATCTATCACAAGTACTCCTCTTATCTTATCTGAATTGCCATTCATCCTGTAAATGATTTAAACATACACTATTCCATTATTGTCTAAGAGAGATAGAAGAGGATTCTGTTAAATATTTGTACTGTGAGTTATTTTAGTTGCTTTGAGCCAGTTTAGAAGTTTTTCACTTTACAGGTTTTGCTTTAACGTATCGTAAGTTCCCAAATTAATCACATTGTATTTGCTGACTAGTCTGTTCTGCATAGTTGAATGGAAAATGGATAATAGATTCGCAGTATTCACAGGTTTAAATCATATTTGCAAAATAAATGCCATTCATTGCAAACAACAATTAATCTTGGGATCTCTTGTTATAGATGCATTTCAGTTTGGCACCTAAGTTTTAAAGCACAGGAAGCTGTTTTATAGTCTCAGTAAATTAGTCCCACAGGCCTAATGCTGTCCTTTAGAAGAAGCAATAAACATGAACTTGCAGGAGTTTTTATATTATTTTTTCTGTGTCAGCAAAGTAATATTATATGTCTTATTCTAACCAATACAATTATTGGCCTGCCAGGGCTGCTGTAGGAAAAAACTCGTGAGAGGGGGAAGAAGGGGGAGACTTATTATATGTGTAACTGTCATGAAGGAACTTAAGAAATCCATGAATGGTACAAGCACACTTTCTTATATTTTGTTTCCTTGTAATTCTGGAAAAACACATTGCATTTTTTTTTAATATTGTTTCAGGGTTTACAAGATGAGATTGAAAGTTACTGCAATCAGGTTCATTCTGCAGAAGAAAAGCTGCAACAGAAAGATCTGGAGACACAGGAACAGGTATAATTCTTTTGCTGAGAGATTTCTGCTTTTTAGAGAAAGGACAATAAAAAGCACACTTGCATGCACCTATATACGAAAATAATCTCTTACTTGATAATATAGTAGACATTTTGCTGATTTTTGTAGGATTTATATTTTATTTTTATTACTAAGAAAGGTGTCTGTATCCAGCACTAGTGCCCCCTTTTTCTGTTTATCTTTTCAGCTGTTGAATGAGGCACTGTATTGTAAATGAAAATACTATTTTTATATTTATAAAGATAGTATAAATTATTTATTTATTTAGTTAGTTATTCCCGGGTATTTATTTAGGCCAAGAGTAGGCAACCTTGGCTCTTTTATGACTCGTGGACTTAGACTCCCAGAATTCCTGAGCCTGCATGACTGGCTCATGAATTCTGGGAATTGAAGTCCACGAGTCATAAAAGAACTAAGGTTGCCTACCCCTGATTTAGGCTATTAATTTATCAATCTTTTTGGCAAGCTATACTTTCTGAGTGAAATTTATGAAAGGAGATTGATTTATATTTGGTGTATACAGTACTTGATTTCACATGTCCTGAGTCTCATGCTATACATTTATTTTTAAAATAAATAATTGTGGGAACATATATTAAACTATGGGTCAGCATGACAAAGATGAGCAGTTCTAAGCTCATTTGCAGATTCACTTGCTGTCCCTTCTTTCTTGCCTGAGAAATTCTAGTTGGGATATCTGGGGTTGCTCAAACCGAGATTAGTTCACAAATTAGAATTTTAAAATGTTTAAATGAGTGAAATTATGGCCTTCTGGTTGAGATCTATCTGCCAGTAGAAGTGACAGTATGATGGGAATTCTTTTCTGCATCTCTCTGCACAGTTCTAAAATCAAAGGATTTCCCAGCCTCCTGGATTAGATGTGCATGGTGTACATACAATGCATGATGGGAAGAAAAGGTTTGCTCTGTTGTAGAAGCAGTTGTTTGTATGTCTTTAGATATTAATGCAAAGTGGAAATAAAAGCTTTAAACTTCTAGTATACTCACGTAGTAGTTTATATTTTCACTGATATCTCTTTTTTTCTTTTAGTCATATTCCTGATCTTTGCCTTAGGGTAGGGTTTCCCAACCTTGGGAATTTCCAGGAATGTGGACTTTAACCCCCAGAATTCCACAGCCCACACAGCTAACATGACCTTTGGTGAGAATTCTGGGAGTGGAAGTCCACATCCTTGAAATTCCCAAGGTTGGGAAACACTGCCTTGTGGGATTATTTAAAATCTTAATTCCTTTTATTCTTAATTATCTGTAATAATAGTTATCTCCTTTTTATAAGAAGGAATTTGTGGTGAGAGTTTATACACAGCAAACAAATACAGGTAGTTCTCACTTAAGAATGGAATTAGGGACAAGAAATTCTATCACTAAGTAACTGAGTTGTAAAGTGCAACATGACATGATGTACTGCTTAGCAACAGTACTGCTGGCACTTCCAGTTGCTGTTAAGCAAATTGTTGCGGGTCATTTGCAAGGACTTCACATGGTTGCCATTTGAGACTTCCTATCAGCTTCCTCAGTCACTTTGCAAATGGTGGTCACATGACCATGGGTTGCTGCAATGTTGTAATTGAATTACATTACTAAGCATCTGGGTCATGATCACATGATCATGGAGAAGATACGAGGTCCAGTCATATCCATTATTCATCTGGCACCATCATAACTTTAAATGATCATTAAAAAGTGGTTGTTAAGCACAGGCCACATGTAATTGTGATGTTTGTGAATTAAACCCAACTTTTGCAACACATTTGTTGACTATATGTCCATTATCCATCCCTTGGTGGAGAGACTTCATGATATTCATGCATTTTAAAGGAAAAAGGTGCTGCATGAACATCAATGGATTTCTTTGTTACTCAACATTTAATTTTGTTGCTTGTTAAGAATACTATTGAAACATTTCTGGAAAGGAAAAAAAGTTAGCATCACTAATATACTTTATTTATTCAATTTGTTGTTATGCCTAAATAATTTTCTCTATGCTTGTCTTAGAACAGTGGTTCTCAACCTGTGGGTCGGGACCCCATTTGGGGTCGAACGACCATTTCACGGGGGTCGCCAAACAAGGCTGTCTGCCATTTTTCCCCTTTTCTTTGGCCACGCCCCTGGCACCCGGTGATGTATAAGTGGTTGGGGGTCACCACAACATGGGGAAGTGTATTATGGGGTTGCGGCATTAGAAAGGTTGAGAACCACTGTCTTAGAAGAAAATAGGAATATAGATCAACAACTCAGAGAATTTCCTTCTACTATATAGTGGCTTTTATCGCATATCCATATTTATATGCATCTTGAAGGGGGAAAAAGTATATAAATATTTTAAATTCTGCATTTTCTTTTATAAGTTACTTTACTATAATTTATTGTAAAATAGCATTATTTATGTTTGTCTATGATTTTAATAGATTAGTACTTCATATTCAATATTTCAGTTCTAAGTCAAATATTTAGTGTACTCAAAATAGAAAAGGAACAGTAAAATATGGAAAAGAAATTCTGCTTGAATATCTGGTACTCTCTGATGCCCCACTTGAATTTCACATTCATTTACATGCATATTATTAGGAGAATTATTTAATGTAATTTTAATTCAATTCACAGCTAATATCTGGATTATATATGTAGCGGTATGATGTGAACATGAATTGACAGAATCCTAGGAAGGATTACATTTTTAATATTCCCATATATTTTTTAAAAAATAATAAATTAACAATTTCACTTCTATAATAACAAAGTGACCGAAAAAATTAAGAACCCAATGAAGGATAACCAGTCGATACACATTTTATTTCGTGTCAGCTAATTAATATTTATACTTTAAAAGTAGTATTCATAGCAAGGCTGAAAGGTACAGTATCAGTCCAAGTCCACCTAGGCAGATTTGTTTTGGGTTTTTTTGCATTTAATTTGAATGACTAAAGAATGTATTTTAGAACTAATATTTTGGACAAGAAGATGTTTGTATAACAAACTCTGAACTATTAGAGGGTGAATAAGTAAAGTCATGCTATGCTTCTTTGTGAAGTTTTATGTCTACCGTATCAGCTTGAAGTGTACACATGCTTTTCACAGTTAAAGCTTTGAATCCAAATTTGCATTCATGTATTCAGACATGCAATCATATAGAAGACACTATCTTCATAATTCCAGATCCCGTCAAAACTCCCATCTTACCAGGATCAACTGATTTATTGATTCTTGCTCAACCCATCACTACCATTAGGCAACTGTCTAGTACTCCTGATTCATATTGAACAGAGATACATTAGTGTTACCATGTCCCAAACTTGTAGATCAGGGGTGTCAAACTGCCGGCTTGCAAGCCGGACGCGTCACGCGGAAGCTACGCCCACTCCATTGCCGGCAATGGCAAAACTGTCCCAATACATTGCGCGACATCACGTGATGTTGCGAGTTTGACATGTCTGTGTAGATAGCAGTAGGAGAAAGGAAAGAACAGAATTCAGTGAAATAAATAAGTTGAACAGGAATTACCCATAGCTATTTTTGGTAGCAAGCCTGCAGCTAGAAACAGAGTTATTGCAATGCAATGCTGCCTTTTTACTTCTCAGGCCATAGAGCTATCCCATCAAGATTTCATGCTTAAGGGACTAGATGCTGCTGAACAATCCAAGAGGAAGAACAAATGTGACCAAATCTGTTTCAGTTTTGTATCCAAACCTGAAACCAGATTCAAATCAGTCAACACAAGCAGCTTCCTCCAAATGCATCTGTAGCTAACTAGCCATTTCCCAAGAAAGAGATGTCTGTAATTGGGTAGGTTACTTTGTAAAATTCTTCAGGGACAGCTTCCTCATGAAAAGTCAAATTACACCATTTATTCCATAATGAGACATTAATTACTACCTAGAAAATCCACCTCTATCCCACTATATGTTTGTCATCTATGAAATAGAATACTGTAGCTTAAAAAAAAAAGGCCCCATATAGAAAAAAGTGACTTAGTAACGCACTTAGCCAAATATTCACTTGTACTAATACAGGTAGTCCTTGACTTATGACCACAGTTGGAACCGTAATTTTGGTTGTAAGTTGTTGGCAGTTGTAGGTTGAGGCACAATGTGACCAGACTCAGTTTTATGATGTTTGTTAAATGAGTTACTATGGTATTCAGTAAACCATGTGGTCATAAGTATGAAAGCATTTTATCCAAGTTTTATGCTGGAAAATTGCAAACAGTAATGCAGAATGTGATCCCATGACCACAGGTTGTCAATGTGCACACGGTGGCAAGTGCCCAAAATGCAGTTATATGACTGTGGGAATGGTGTGGCAGTCATAACTTTGAGGACGAGTCATAAGCAACTTTTTTTCACATCCATCGTAACTTTGAACAGTCATTAAGCGATTGGTGATAAGTTGAGGACTATCTGTACTGTTCTCAGTATTTCTTTTTTCCAAGTCTGATTAGGCCTAGGAGAATTAAAAAAATGTTTTGCATGCTTTTATCTGAAGCAATTAATTATTTAGTGTTAATTATTCTGCAAAGTAAAATGTGAATGGGCCACCTCAAAATGTTAGCTTCCATTCATTGTTGATCCTTATCCACGCTAGCTACAAATACATCTGCAGAATCCAGTAATGGTAATAAAAAAAACCTATTTGGGACTTTTTTCTACTTCTATAAGATACTATTGTATTGAGACCACATTTTAGAAAGGTTCAAAAATTGCTTTGGCATAGTTACAAAAGGCAGTTTCATGGGCTTTTACAAGTCTGCATCAAGTAAAAAAAAAAGCTTATTTAAATGCTTGCTGTTTTTCATTAAAAGGAAAGTCTTGTGTTTTGATTCTATAACAACAACAAACAAATGAATGAGACATGAAAAAAACTGTGGTTTTAATTAAAAGCACAAGACTGTTTCTTATTATTTCTTATTGGGTGGTATCTTAGTTCTCCATGTTTGCCTTGTTTTTAGATGAGAACTGTCTC